GGAAAGACTTCTTAATCTTAATCTTTCTAAACCTCTTGAATTTTGACTGTGTTACCTATTCAAAAAAGCAAAAAAGTTAAATAGAAATGAAGGTAGAAAAGAAATGCCATGGTAGAACTGAGTTTTAAGTCCTGTGTTTTTATAAGGAAGGCTCAGATATGTGTGAGGACTCTAGGTTGCTATCTGTGGCCAAGGTATTTCAGGGCTAATGGAATCCCAATTCTCTAAAATGCAGGCATAGCCTTGCTGAGTCAGTGTGGTTTAATATTCTCTCTGATTCTAATCTGTCGTGCTTAAATATGAAATTAAACCTTGAACAAAATCAGACTATAATGACTGAACTTAGACCACCTGAGCACATCCTATGAGCATTCATTAGTGTGCAGTTGTTAGACTGACAGCATAAATTTATTTAATTTATTTTTCTCTCCTTAACTCACTCTTTTTTTTTTTGAGAGAGAATTTCACTGTGTCACCCTCCGTAGAGTGTTATGGCATCACAGCTCACAGCAACCTCAAACTCTTGGGCTTAAGCGATTCTTTTGCCTCAGCCTCCCAAGTAGCTGGGACTACAGGTGCCCACCACAATGCCCAATTTTTTTTTTGATACTGAAATGTTTTCCCATCATAATGGACTCTTAAGCACATTCTCCGTGTTTGCGGTGTGCTAGCTGGATGTCTTTTGGCATAATTGTTACATGTTTGGCATGGATAGCACACAGGTTGGTGTCTTCAAAAAGACCAACCAGGTAGGCCTCACTTGCCTCCTGCAAAGCACCTATAGCTGTGCTCTGGAAGTGCAGATCTGTCTTTTTTTTTTGAGACAGAGCCTCAAGCTGTCGCCCTGGGTAGAATGCTGTGGCATCACGGCTCACAGCAACCTCCAACTCCTGGGCTTAAGCGAGTCTCCTACCTCCACCTCCCAAGTAGCTGGGACTACAGGTGCCCGCCACAACGCCTGGCTATTTTTTGATTGCAGCCATCGTTGTTTGGCGGGTCCGGGCTGGATTCGAACCCACCACCTTAGGTGTATGTGGCTGGTGCTTTAGCCACTTGAGCCACAGGCGCCGAGCCACAGATCTGTCTTAAAGTCCTTAGCAATTTCTTGCACCAGACACTGGAAAGGAAGTTTGTGATGGACTTCTGATAATGTGTAATTTCATGGAGTGCCACAGTGCCAGGCCTGTAGCGATGAGGTTTCTTCACTCCTCCAGTAGAGGGCACACTCTTGTGAGTGGCTTTTATAGCCAGTTGCTTTCTGGGTGCTTTACCACAGGTGAACTTGCGGGCAGTCTGCTTTGTACGAGCCATGGTATAAAATACTTACCCCCACTTCTCCTTGGCTGGAGCTTGGTGAGCGAGAGGCAGCACTGGCATTAGCGATGGCCCAAGCTGTTTTTCAAGATGAGGTCTCGCTCTGTCTCAGGCTGGTCTGGAACCCGTGAGCTCTGGCAATTCACCCTCCTCGGCCTCCTAGAGTGCTAGGATTACAGGCGTGAGCCACCACACCCAGCACCCTGAACTTATTCTTAATGGATTCAGATTTTTAATGATCCCCTTACCCTGATCATTAAAGCAATTCATACCATTTTTCAGCTCTTAGAAAATATAGGAAAGTACAAAAAAGAACTGGAAAGTCACTAATAACCCCATCATTAAGAGATAATCACTGTTGTTACTGTCAAGATTTAAGTGGTTTCATGCATTGATGGTTTCCATTTTTGGGGCTGTTAAGAGTTCAGCATGGGTCTGGGTCCTCAGGACTGGGACATTGTTGCTGATAAAAGAGAAGAGCCTGAACAAGCTTTAAGCTTTGCAGGTTTTTTAAGTGGCTTTGTTTGTGGTGGGGGTTGCCTCCATGAGTATTGGGTATGATGATTTGATGTCTTTTCAAAGAAAGAATGATTATTTTTATTTGTTTGTTTTTTTAAGAGATAAGTCTTGGCTCTGTCACCCAGGCTAGAGTGCAGTGACCTGATTGATCGTAGCTCACTGCAACCTCACCTGGGCTCAGGTGATCCTCCTGGCCTGGTCTCCTGAGTGGCTGGGACTAGAAATATGCATGTCCATGCTCGGCTAATTTTTTTCTATTTTTCGTAGAAATGAGATCTCGTTCTTTTTCTAGGCTGGTTTCGAACTCTTGGTCTCAAGTAATCCTCCCACCTCAGCCTCCCAAATTTCTGGGATTATAGGTGTGAGCCACATGTTTAGCCGGATTCATTGTTTTTTAAGTGCTTGGGAGATGGTGGGATTTAGTCTCTTAAGACACTGAGACCTGGGTAGGGAGTGGGCAAGACACTGAGACCTGGGTAGGGAGTGGGCAGTCTTAAAAAATATATTTTGTAGGCTCGGTGCCTGTAGCTCAAGCGGCTAAAGTGCCAGCCACAGACACCAGAGTGGGCAGGTTCGAATCCAGCCCGGGCTTGCCAAACAACAATGACAACTACCACCAAAAAAATAGCCAGGCATTGTGGCGGGCACCTTGTAGTCCCAGCTACTTAGGAGGCTGAGGCAAGAGAATCCCTTAAGACCAGGAGTTGGAGGTTGCTGTGAGCTGTGATGCTATGGCACTCTACCTTGGGCGACAGCTTGAGGCTCTGTCTCAAAAAAATAAATAAATAAATAAATAAATAAATGTTGTAGAGCTCACTTCCAGGTAGATCTGTGGGTTTCTCATGGGGATCAGAGTGATAACTTCTAGAGTTCATCAATCTCTAGTCATAAATATTGTACACATGGATGCTGCTGCCTTTCTGCTTGGTTAGATGTGCCAATTGCCAGGGGCCTTGGTCTCTTGGAGTGCTGGAGTAGTACTTGGTTGTCATACCAAGGTGCCATCCCATGGGGAGGGCTATCTTCCCCCATCTGTAAGAAGAAGCCATAAGAAGACCCTCTGTCTGTTTTTCCTTAGGGTGGAATGGGTGCTGCTCTGCTGTCAGATCCTGACAAGATTGAGAAGGTAAGTTGTACATGGGTGAAAGCAGGGGTCTTCAAACATGGCTATTGATGGGGTGGTCCAGATGGCCTCCTCTCTATTTCTAGATTTACTGCCATCCACCCAGTTTCTCCACCTGGGGTCTGGAAATATTTTTAAAAGATTCCTAGTAATTTTGTCATGCAATCAGGTTTGGGAATCCTGGTGCTAGGCTTGGAGTTCTTTAAAAGCCCAGAGCTAGGGGCACAGCAAGTGAGAGCCTGAGGGTCCTGAGGAGTCAGAGAGAGCTTCCTATGAATTGTCTCACTGCCTTCTTGGTGACCATGAGAACAGAGGCTAGGCTACTATGTTAAGGACAGCCTCAGCAGCTATGTTTTGGGAGGTGGGTGCATTGGCCTGTCTCGGGCTTGATGAGAGCGGCAGTGAGTCCTCTGCATATTGGCACACTCATGCACCAGCCCTTTGAGAGCCGGCCAGGCCGGGGTCAGATGAGGCAACCTGAAGTTAGTTTCCTTCTATTCGCCTTCCCTTCTGCAAGCCAGCTTAAATGAGGCCCTAAGGCAGTGGTTCTCAACCTGTGAGTCACAACCCCTTTGTAACCATGAAAATGCTTCCTGCATATCAGATATTTACATTATGATTCATAACAGTAGCAAAATTATAGTTATGAAGTAGCAATGAAAATAATTTTATGGTTGGGAGCTACCACAACATGAGGAGCTGTATTAAAGGGTTGAAGCATTAGGAGGAATTAGGAAAGTTGAGAACCACTGCCCTAAGGGCAGGTAGGCAATCAGCATCCAGTGTTGTGGACTGCCAGGTCATGAGGGGATGATGGTTTTCCACCACACCATATTTAACTTTTGCTTTTCTCTCTCCATTTCCCAGCTCTCTCCTTGTTCTTCCTCTTAACTCCTTTGCTTTCCATTTTTTCATGCTCTGTTCCCACTTCCCTAACTGGGTTCTCAGTCTCCTAATGCCTTCTACAGGCTAGAGCATCCTGAACTCAGGCACCACGAATAAGAGCTGCCACTGTTTGTAGTGGCTGCTGTCTTCCATATACTTCCTGTCCAGCTGTCTCTGAGATACGGGGAGAATGCTGTGTGTGTTGGCATGGTGCCTCCTCGTTTTTCCCATGTGTAGCCACAGATACTGTACTTATAATGTACCTATGTCAATGTGCTTACAGTATGCTTACATGATGTGCTGTTTATTTGTTCTTTAAACCCCTTAAAATAGACAGAGACATTTGTTATTTCCATTTGATCAAAAACCATAAACAAATGTACAGAAAGATAAAAATCATTTGCTTGAGATCATGCAGCAAATACATGGCAGGCAGAGCCATCTTTAGAGCTATAGTCTTGTGACTCTAATGGCATCTTAGGTTGAAGGTGCCTGGGTATAGTTTATAAGCATCTAGCCATAGTTTCATAGGTATCTAGACTTAGGAACCTCTAGTTAGACACTTTGGCAGGATGGAGTGGAAGCACACACTGTGGATGTCAGACTGGTTGCCACACTTGGGAGAGTGAGCCCCAGCAGGAAGGACGTGACTCAACATGTGCATGCCAA